TGGTGACCAAGTTCAAATGTGTTTTCTAAACCAGCTTGTGCTCGTCAAGTCAGCAGGTGTTTGTAATGAGGGTAATTGTGTGACAATATGAAGTTTGAAGAGATTTTTTTTTAAAGTCGCTGTTGCTGGATCTTGAACCCTGATCTCCCACATGAAAGCCCAAGGCATTAAACAATGAGACCATTGGAGCTGTGGCAAAGAGGATTGCCAGGAGTTGGTTTGTATGTGTGCAGAAAGAGGCCACATCGCCAATGCAACTGTTGACCCTAAACTGCAATATATTATAACAATAAAGCAATATTAGGACAATATTATAGTAAAACATCAAAATACTAACATATTAGTATTGTAAACACTGAACTACTGAGTTGAAATATTACTAAACTATGGTGCAGTACTGAGTAGATACAGCATGGGGCACTATTGAACCAATACAAGGCTCCGTTGTCTCCAATTATAAAATATTAAACATTAATATTTCAAAAACTATAAGTTGTACAGGCACCAAAAGGCATAGCCATCATTTGGCTCAGGAGCTTTACAGATATAAATTACAATGGCAGCTCTAGGACAAAGTATACAGGAGGAGAAGCATGGCAAAGTGGAGATGACTTGGATGGGAAACGAATCACAATAGTGTGCATTGCATTGGCAATGCACACTGATAATGAAGGTTTAACTCCTTGAGCAACAATTCATACTTTATACATTTAGACGTCACCATGAAGTAATGATACCAAGATATTAGTATAATATATTAGCTTCTAAGGTTGTGTTGTGAGATGAAGCACAGCAGTATTTTGGAACTTAAATAAAAACGTTTGGCCTCTGCCGTCATCCTCCAAATCCTCCGTGTCGACACTCGTGCAGTTCAGGACATCTTAATTTATCCTCGTATTGTCTTACAGTTGTGCTTCCTGTCAGATTGCACAGTGTTTATACCTAAGCAGGACAAAGTGGTCTGCAGCTGCAGAGACTCAGAAAGGAAGTGTGACAGGGACGACCTAATATGGTCAAACAGTTGATCCTCTGCAGGCGAACAGGAAGTAGAGCGACACCCAAACCCAACGCCCCACAGGCAGTTAAGAGAGCGTGTTGCCCCAAAACCACCACTAAGTCAGGTTTAACCAGATGTTTTGATTTGTATTTAGTGCTCTAATACAGCTCATAACCCCCCCCCCACCCCCACACACACACACAAAACCCACAGCATATTCTGTGGACACAAAGCTGCGCAGCTAATCTCCAAATGAATGGATTAGAATCAGGTTGCATTCAAGTAAGAAGAAAAAAAACCTCAATATTCTTCACATTTTTCTGCTCCCTGCTTCTCTTTATAAGCTGCAAAGCAGAAAAACATTTTCTAAATGGAAAAATTAAGTTCTTTCCAAAAGAATCTGCTTCGCCACGGTGGGTGTTTCTGCTTGTCAGAGGTCAGAGCAGGAAACATACGAGTTTTGTTTAGAGGGTGATGTCAGCCTATAAATCTTTCATGTGGAATAATGTTTCCAGCTGTAGAAGAAGGAAAAAGTTGCAGAAAAACTGGCAGCTGGTAGTCTGCAAAGCTCACAATGATTGTGGATGTTTTAAATCTTCAGTTTTTATTTGCCTGCTTGTTGGTTTTCTTCATGTTGAGTGCGTAACCTTTTTTTATGTTAGCTTCATAAGCTGGGGGGAGTTTAAAATGGTCTCCAAACGATAATATCATTTATCGCAATAATTTCTGAGACAATTTATCATCCTGCAAAATTTATCATCGTGACAAAGCTGAGAATAAAAATATTTCAAAGTGTTTGAATCAGGTTCCAAATGCCAATTAAGAATAATGAGCACGTCCAAGAATGCAGATTTTCAAAATAAAACAGGCGGTGACTGGGGATGTAACAATTCGCCGAGAATCGATGTGAACTGATTCATGTTAAGAAGTTAATATAAAAATGAATGAATCCTTTTCATAAGTTATGTCTTCCAAACAAATTCTGTTTGACACTTGATAACTTGGTCACAAAAGGATTTGTGAGGACATGTTTTTTTATTTTGAAGTCGTATTCTGTTGCTAAAGGCCTCCCCGTGCTCCAACAGAACAGTCAAAATCGTCTCTCATTAGCTGTGTTTCCATTGACCATGAAAATGCGCAAATTAGAATTTCAAAAATAAATTTGATCAATGGAAACACGTCAATTTTGAAAAAAAATATTACGTTTTTCGACAAAATCTTTTTGCTCTAGGATTAGGGTTTTTTTCGGCCGTATTGAATTTGGTGTTTTTCGCAAAACTGCAATGGAAACACCTTTTTCACATCACGGAGTCACGTGATCAACAACCGGCTGTTTCTACTGGTGAAAAAGACGATGATGATGAAGAACAGGAAGTAGAAGTAGTAGTAATATCACAGAAGTAGTATAAAATNGTGTGTGTGTGTGTGTGTGTGTGTGTGTGTGTGTGTGTGTGTGTTGGTGCAGTTTTTGCTCCAAAGGCCTCTGGGAGTTCAGGGGCAGAATATTTAAGTTAATTAGACGGGTCAAGAACAGGAGACGCTGCTCTTCTCTCAGAACTTGTCCGTGGTCTCGTCACGCTGCTATCTGTTGCTCGTTTAACGTCCTCGCAGCGGGACGTCGGTTCAATCTCCGGATTTAAATCACTTCCTGTTGGAACACCATCACACGTTTAGCTGCCGTTTGTTAGCGGTGCTTTTGTTTTATTGTCTTTCAGCTGTTTTGCACACGTTTATTCTGACTGTTCTGTCATTTGACAAAAAAAATAGAGGTTTTCATTAAAATTATTTACATAAAATTAAATATTTATTTAATGTGGCAATAATCCTGTCCTATTTTACAGTTTTAAATGCACAACATGATTTCCTGCAGCTTTGCTTCAAAGAAACAATTCAAAAAAATGAAATAACGACAAATATTTTTCAAAGATAAACCTTTTAATACATTAAGAGGCAATTAATTTGTTTTAATTTTGGGTTTGTTTTTATTCATAAACACTTCAGATTTAATTACCCTGACGTATCGTGCCTTTAACGGTTAATATCAGAACGTTCTGTTTAATAAATATATTAATTAGTCATTTAAACACATTAAAAAGAAAATCAAGTCCAGAAAAGCATCTCGTACCAAAATATGCTTCTGTTGACACGGGTTTAGATTTAAATACAGTTTTGGGCCTGAATGGACAAAAATCACTTCATGGGAGCCAAACTCGCATCTATTT